ACTTTTGACCCTCCTGCCTCCCTCCTTGTAAGGGCCCACTTGCATCATCCAGGCTAATCCCCATCTCAAGATCTCTAACTTAATCATACTTGCAAAGTCCCTCTTACCCTGTAAGGTAACACAGGTTTCAGGGATTAGAATGCAGAAATTTTGGAGGGGTCATGATTCCACCTACCACACATTTCATACTTGCTAACATTCCATTGCCCAAAATCAAAGGATGGGAAATGCTGCTTATGAAGGTGGAATGGGGAGAGAGTAAATATTTCTGACAGTAATTTAACCTACTACACACCCAGTGGGCCTTTAATAAATGTTTATTGAATGTGAGTTTGGACCATGGTGACTCCGGGGTGTCACTTCCTGAAAACACCTATAAGCACTGATCATCTTATTACAATCACAGCGTAGCCTGGGCAGAGCTCCTGCTTGGTCTGCAGGGAGTACAACGCCATTTGTGGCATAGGTGGATGAAAACTGTAAGATCTTGTTTGCTCATTACAACTATAGCACTGTTGTGTACTCTAGAATCACAATGAAATTTAGGCTCTCATTTTTCCTTCTTCCTCTACTCTTGTTACCCAGAACAAGATGACACATTATCTGGTTTCAACCAGGGCTTTGAACTGGTTTGTTCAGGTTCGAACCCCTGCCGAAAACTTGCATTCCTAACAAGTTTCCAGGTGATACTAATGCTGCTGGTTAGGGACCAATTCTGACAAGCAGAGCAGTGGTTCTCAAATTTTATTATACGTAAGAATCACCTGGGGATCTTGTTAAACTGTAGATTCTGATTCAGTGTATCTGGGGTGGAAATGCAAATTATCAGCAGGGGTTCAAACTGGACCGAACTGGTTCAAAGCCTTGGTTTAAACCCTCTGAAGATGCAGAAAAGAGATCATGCAGAATTTTTAAATAGTTTCCTTTTAAATCCCTCACCCCTTTGCCAGAACTGACCCAGAACTCAGCTGAGGAAGCATGTGGTAGGGCAGGGAGGCTGCTCTGCCTGTGAGGGTTACAAGACACCTGGCGTGCTGTGTCCACTAGTGGGCTCCACTCTGTAAGAGAGACATTCACAAACCAGAGGACTGGAAGACAACCGAGATGGTTAGGGGATTCAAAACGAATGCACAGACACAGTGCTGAGGAGATGTTTAAAATGAGGATCTTCAGATGACCAGAAGGTAACAATCTGCGTGGCCAGAGGGAAAAAGACAATGGTTTCCCTTCCAGCTCTGTCCACAACTAAAAAGGCCTATGACCAAACCGGGAGCAATGAACACTGCAAGGGCTCAGACCGTGGTTGCAAAATACCATTTTCAACTAAGACTGTGAGCGTGGCACAGGACCAGGCAAGTGTTTCATTCTGTGGTACACAGAGTTGCTATGAGTCAGAAGTGACTCGACGGCACCTAGCAACAACATCCACAGAGTTTCTGATTCAATAAGTCTAGGGTGAGATTCTGCATTTCTAACAAGTTTCCAGGTGATGCTGATGCTGCTGGTCCAGAAACCACACTTTGAGAACCACTGCTCTGGGTTTAACTATCAATTTACAGGAAATACTGGGGACAGTGAACACAGTAAACGATACCATGAGAATGCAATCAGCAAAATAGAGACTGGGAAATTCTTCAGGACCTGGCTTCTTCAACAAATATACTGCAAAAAAAAAAAAGGGACCCCACAGATTAAGAGAAACTTAAGATGTCTTTTAGAGGTACATACTGATCTACAGATGAAATGGCTAGGATTTCCTTCAAAATTAACTGTGGAAGCGGACAGGTGTATAGACAGTTAAAACGGGATGAGTACATGGGGGGAGGTTCATCATACGTCTCTCTGGTGTCTGAAATTTTGCATAGTAAAAGTAATATGCAATGTATTTAAATAGTGCACTCAAGGCTATTCAACAGACTAGAAAGCAAGGATGAATGGACATGATGCATGGATGGCAGTCTCATTCTTGTGATATTCCTGGTGAAAATGCAATCATGAAGAGCAGACAAACCCAAATGAAAGAAATTCTACAAAATAACTGTCCTCTACTCTTCAAAAATGACAGTAAAGAAGGTTGTTCCAGATTTAAAGACCATGGCAATAAAATGCAGGAAATAAACCTGAATCAAAGAAAAAAAGAGTAACTGATGAAATATGGACTGTGGGTTAGGTAATAGTATTATATTGTTAATTTCCTGATTTTGATACTGTAGTATCTAAGGGCATTGGTGGTTCAGTGGCAGAATTCTCACCTTCTGACCCAGAGTCCCCTAGTGGTGTAAAAGGTTAAGTGGTAGTCGAAAGGTTGGCGGTTAGAACTCACCCAGAGGCACCTTGAGAGACAGGCCTGAGAAAGGTCACAGCCTTAATAACCTTTTGAAGAGTTCTACTCTGTACACATGGGGTCACTATACTCAGAACTGTCTCCACAGTAACTAACAGGTGGAGACCTGGGTTTAATTCAGGTCAGTGGAGGCTTGTGTGTCACTATGATGCTGAACAGGGTTCAGCAGAGTTTTCATCATAAAACTAGGAAAAAAAATCTCCTGGTGAACTACTTCCAAAAATCAACCAATAAAAACCTATGGTTCACAACAGTTGGATCTTCAACCCATCATGGGGAAGGCGTAAAAACAGGCAGTTTTGTTCTGTTGTACACGGGGTTGCCGTGAGTCGGGTGTTGACTCAAAGACAGCTAACATCTAAGGGAATGTCTTTCTTCCTAAGAAATACAAAAATTTTTAGAATAAAAGGGCAAGCTGTCTACCAAGATAAAAACCTTGTTTCTACTTAGACTCATGGTTTATTACCATACTGACTTTCTTAGAAATTATCTCTAAAATGGGTATAAATATACTGACTATACTGAACTGTGAATAACAAATCTCATTACAAATAACAACTTTCCAATACAATCTGTAATACTTATCACTTGCTTTTGCAAAATTCAAGTGGGCTATCTGATGAAGCTGCTGGGACCATGAACCTTTTTCTGGGCACATGTCCACGTTGTATAAGAAACTAGTAATCTTGACTTTCTCCAAGGGGTCAAAGGTGGATTTTATTGTATACTCTGATCTTTGAACCATGATTACTTTCTATTAAGAATAAATTAACCACTTTATTAAGGGCTGTACTGGAGGACCACCAAGGATTAAAATAGCTAAGCATATCTGAAGAAGCTGTTCAGAATTTATGTCAATCACACAACTGTACCGATTAATCCATTTAATGGATGCACACATTACAGATATAAAGATGAGCAGTGGTTACTGACTAAAAAGCACAAGATTAATATGCGTAATTGACAATTACTTTTTTAAAAAACCAGCTGCTGTCGAGTTGATTCCAAAGGTTGTAACCTTTCCCGTGTACCAGAGTAAAACTGTGTCATAGGATTTTCAATGGCTGATTTTTCGGAAGTACATTGCAATCAAGCCTTTCTTCCACCTCTGGGTGGACTGGACTCAAACCTCCAATCTTTCGATTAACAGCCAATCACGTTAACCGTTTGCACCATGCAGGGACTCCAACACTATACTCCTTTAAAAAAAGAACAGGTCTGTGTTAGCAGTACTCAGTAAAAAGAAGGTGCACACCACTCATGGCACGAACAGCTTATCACTGAAAACAGACGGTATATGCATATGCATACGACCAGAAATAAGGGCAAACATACTTAATAGTGGTTACATTACTAAGTAGGCTCTTTCCGAGCACATAATACTTTTGTAATTACATCAAGTTAATAAGAGGTTTTCACTTTTTGATCTTTCTTCTAAGTTCCATCACCACTGGAGTGAAATTGGGTACCACCACAGAAACCATATGAGATCACAGTGCCCTCTAAAAGCAAGGTTAATAATAAAACCGTGTTGGTTTCCAAGTGTAAACTGCCAAATTTAGAGCACCCCAAGTCCAAATTAAGGAAATTAGGCTAAGGACTTGGGAGGAAAAAAATCAAATCTTCCTAGTTTAGTAAACATCCCAGAGTATGTTTGAACCACTAGAAAGTAATAGGGAAATTCTGTATAAAGCAAGTTAATACAAAAATAATTTAGCATTTCCAACTCTTCATAAAAACAGCTAGTATATTAACATACTGTTTTAAGTACTCTTCATGTATTAACTTTTAATCTTCACAACGCATGAGGTTTTAGCTCTACCGTTTAGATAAGGACACTGAAGCAGTAGTTAACAATATGACCGAAATACACCATCCGTTAGGTTCATCTGTTAGGTTGATCCCCAATTCACGTTCCTAAGAAACTTACGAGATCCTCTTCTTATACTCTAGCAACAGCTTGCAAATGGCAATTCCAATTCAAAAACTCATTTGCCAAGGATGCTCAGCAATATGCTTTGTGCTAAGTGGGAATACACAAGAAATTGAAACCAAGTCCTTCCCTCATTAAGCATTTTATTGAGGAGACAAAGCATAAAACAGGTTAACAAAGCGGGAGAAGGAAAATACCAAGATGAAAGACGGTGACACAGGAGTGGGAAGGTAAAGTTGCAGGAGCAGGTAGGACTCAAAGTGGCCATAAAGGCACTGTGGTGTGTCAATAAACACTATCAAGTAAAACATGAGGGAATCAGGATATTCCTAACCCGCTTTTTCTCTTGCCCTCTATCAGCTTAACACTCCCCTAACCACAGATGAATATGTGGTATGTTTTAAGACTCTCGGATTCCACTCACAAGTTAGCAAGGAACTAAACATTTTCTCAGTCAACTCCTATGTTCTCAAGTGAGCCAATGATATAAACACAGTGGTTTCCACAGGTTATGTAGTAGGACTCGATTTTTAATAAACTGTTCTTATTACTAGGAAACTTTTATGGGCGCAGATTTACCTATACAATTACCCGCTTCTGGGGCAGCTAACAATGTGTGGACAAAACTTGCCTATTACCATGTGATATAACACGAGAGCCCAGTTGAAGAACAATGGCTATTTTTTGAAAGCCAAATTTCACATTATACTATTCCCCTCTTCCTTTTAAATGGCTATGGGCTTGAAAGCTTTTGTATTCTTTCCCTGAAAACAAGATAACTTTGGTCAAAGCCAATTCTTAAGACTTGTCCTTAAACACTAAATTCTGGAAGGCAAGGGAGGCTTGCCTTTTCATATATTAAGAATCACTTCTGTTCTTTCAAACAGGCAAAAACAATGGGCTTTCATTATTGACACCATTAAGAAAATGGTAAACAACTCTCAAATTCTGCAGTTGCTATTGAAAAAAATCACCATCTCTTGTACAGTTTAAGCATCTATAAAAACAAAAAGTATCAAAGTAAAAAACTAAGTTCACATAAGCATCAAGTTTTTGGGGCACTAGCTTTCTAAGGTTAGGCTTTTAAGATTCTGTAACAAGAAGCTCAAGAATTTCTTAAAAACAAATTTAACTGTCCATATAATTTTTCTCTGAAGCAAAGCCAACTCAGAGACCTTTTACTTGTTTCAAGTACTCCCAGCTACTCTATTTTGACACCTAGATCTTAATTTTGACTCAATTATTCCATTCTACCTCATTAGGTATGCCTTCTGGATTACTGAACCCCCAAAACAACCCTAGAATAAGTATGCTTTCCAGTTACACCTGTGGCACAATGCGCAATGTACCACCATGTTCTACCCCAACCCATGTCATGGTCCCTTACACAGGGATGGCTCCTAGGAGGAGTTAAAAAGAAAAAATCCGTAACAATGAGTGCTTTTAAATTACATTAATTAAGCTTATGGACGTATGGACTAATTGCTAACCCAAAAACTCCTACAAATTTGCAGTATAAGAACTTGGGTTCCACAATACTTACTACACTTCAGTCATAATAAAGGTACAAAAAATTTAGGGTATACCCATTAAATTTTTTCCCCAAATGAACTACACTGTATAAAGTTTACAAGGATGATCTAACCAGTTATCACATAACCCCACAAACTATAAAGGGGGCTAACTATTGGGTGGGATTTTACTTTAATTGCCAACTTTACCAAATGACACGACGTTAAGGGTCTGTTAAATCTTCCAACAGAAAATGTCGTATTTGATTTTCCACTTTGAACAATATGCTAAATTTCTGATCAAAGAAAGGATACTTTCATCATTTTTACGTAATAAACAGTAAAAAGCAACACACCATACTCTAACAATAAACAGTTATTACACCGACTCCTTCCAGAAAGTGGGATTACTAGCTAAATGAGATCCAGAGTATTAAGAGCTACTTCTTAGAAAAGTTTAAGTAAAAAAAAAATAAATAAATAATAAAACCAATTAATTCAGGCAAATTATAGAACAGATTCAGTAACTACAAAGTACCTTTTTATTTTAAACCTAACTTGTTAAAGGGGCAAATAGACTTTGGCAAATTTGAGTTAACAGTACAAAATAATGTTATCCAAATTGAATAATTTATTGCTGATCAGAGGCTTGCCTTGTTTTACATTTAAGTAGAATTTACATTGTTTCCACAGCAGATATTAATATTAAAGAAATTTAATATTGACCTATTCAATAAGGCAATCACGTTGGTAGCAAACTTTTATTTAAATCTTACATAACTCAAGCTTTATAAAAAGCCAACATAATTGAAAATTGGGTTCTCCCTCTAAAGCCTTAAGTATTCAAAGCTTGAAACAGTTAATTTAAAAATAAGCAAATAAAACAACAACAAAAAAACCCTGCAGCAGATCCTGCTGAAATACTTAAAACGAAAAAAAAAACAAAAAAAAACAAAAAAAAACTAAATGAGCTTAATCTTTACAAAAGTTTATTTTAGCTCAAAAGCTATAAAATCAAAGTTGTCTTAATTCTACAAAGAAGGGAGAGGGTCTTTGACTTCATGCCACCATTTCTTTAGAACCTCATTTTTCATCAAATTTGGCCACAAATCAAATTTCTGTGTGCCCGTTTTCGGTAATTCCTCTTGCAGAAGAGGCCAAGTACAAACATGAAAGAGTAACTGCCTAAGCAAGTAGGAAAGTGTTCCATAATAGTGTGCAAACAACAGAGAGTTCTGGGTTAATCTCTGGAACTTGATCTGGACCTCGACTTTGAGCGAGATCTAGAACGGGATCTCGATGTAGCTCTTTTTGGTGGAGGGGACACAGAATGAGCCTTTGAGGGTGGAACAGGTAGGGGTGAATTGGACCGAGACTGGCTCCTTGATCTGGATTTTGACTTTATATCACCATTTCCATTTTCCTTGGGAGAACGAGATCGAGAACGAGATCTGCTTCGAGATTTCTCATACTCATCCTTAGATCTACTTCGAGAGCGGGAACGGGAACCTCGATCAGACTTGGGCTTAGATTTGCTCTTTGATCTGGATTTCCTGCCTTTTGATCGAGAACGTGATCGACCTTTGCTCCGTGACCTGGATCTGAACAAAACAAAGCCAAATTTTTTCCCAATACCTTATCAGAACACACATGTAGCCAACAAACAAGCACAATAATATATTCAGAAAAATAACCAACAGCACATTATTTACCGGGAGCGGCTTTTTGAGACACTTCGAGATCTACTGCGGCTGCTCCTGCGACTCCTACTCCGTGACCTTCTTCTAGATCGTGACCTGTAACAAGAAACACAATGAAAGCTTAATCTTGATACATCTCAAAATGAGTATGTTTGGACCATTTAGCAAAAACGACAGACCAACAAAAAATATACTTGCTTACTGCAGAATTCAATAAATCCACTATGAAACATCTGAAAAGAACCCAATGATGCAGAACCAAAAGGAAACTATGAACTGACTTAAGTTCAATAAAATAGTAACTGAAATTACTCATTACTTCATTTTTCTTATTTTTGGCAAATACTCCCCTCCTACCATCCCCAGTCTTCCCACAAGTTACCTTGATCTGCTTCCAGAGTAAGATCGCCTATGGCTCGTTCGTGGTTTATCTTCAATGAGCCTAATGTTTCTGCCATTTATTTCTGTACCATCCAGTTTATCCAAAGCACGCTTCATGTCAGAGTAGGAGCGGAACTCAATCACACCTTCGTTTGCTCGTTCTTTGTGAGCATCCGCATAGGTCACTTCACCTGCTTGTCTCATGAAATCCTAAATGACAACACAGGACTGCTTAGATTCTAAAATCTAAAGACCTACATGCTATGCTTGATTCTCAGAAATAAAAAACTTGTAACAAGAGCGTATCTTTTAAGCACTGATCTTATCATTTTACCACTCAATTATAAAACATACCTTTAAATCTTGCCAACTACAACGACTAGAAAGATTTTCTACAATAAGCCTGTGCTCTGTACGAACAGGTGGTCCATATTTGTCTCTGCCAGAGGTTCTCCGACTGCTGTATCCACCTCCACCACCTTTATCACATGAAGGGCAACAATTAGGTGCTTTGTAATGACAGTGATGCATAATGTTTTTGAACGTTAGTACAAACATAGCAACTTTTATTTACTGGAGTAGGACTTTGCTATTATATTGCTAAACCTCTGATACATTTGTGATTTGCCATAAATTAAATTAAGGGCAAGTCAAATAGGCTAAATCCAACTAAACTTCTCCTACAATCTGTTAGAGAGTGACTGCTCCTTTATTCCGTTTACCTCGCTAAGTTTTATTTTACAGAACATTGTAAAATATAAAACTTAACTGATTACATGCATTTCTACATTTTACAAAAATGTTTACTAGTTACACTAAGTACTTACATCACAGTGTGAGGTTTTTGGTGGTGGTTTGGCCACAAAACACGCAAGGTAACAGTCACCTAGTTCAGATTAACCAGTTTTGTCTAACCCTTGGAATCCTCACCATCACCCTGCGTCTAATGGCAAAAGGCTGCTGTCGTCATGGCTTCCGGTAAGGTCAGCCAAAGGGTCATAGGGCAAGGGTCACACAATGTATGGAAAAGCCAAGGCCAATCAGGAAAGGCAGTCATCTTAGCCTCAGTGGACACAGCCTCAGCCCCATTGGTCACTTTCAAATTGAAACATCAAGGACTTGTTAAAAAGTTTGAATTCAACATGCAACAATTTCAACATCAAACATTTAACATAACCAACCCCCCCACCCCCTCCCAGTAACATGCCCCAACTAATTCAAATATAGCATAAGGCTTATTTTGATCTAGTTTGTGGTACAATACCACACTACTTCAAATAGCAAATTATTTTCTTTAATCCCACCACTTTTAAGACCTAAGCTTTAAACCTCTCCCCTTCCCCGCCCCCCCAACCCCAGCCTGCCCCCCCAACCTTCTAAGCAAACACATTCACATTTCTAGCTAAGGCACTGACAGGTAAGCAAGGGGAATACAAGAATACAGCCACCCCTTACTTCCTCCATGGGCAATAACCACGACAGTGCTGAGAAGCGCCTAAAAGCCAACCCCACCCCCAACTTAGCAAAAAAAGTAAACCAAACCCACCCAGATCCTGGCTAGGCAAAACCCACAACCCAATCCCCGCGCTCCGGCGTCCCGTGGCTTCCCCGGGCAGGCGTGAAGGCAACAGGGCCCGGGGATACCCGAGCCAAGCGTCCTCGGCCACCGCGCCTGTCCGGGTTGGGAGGCCCCACCCCGCCCACCCCAGTGCCTGCTCCCGCCCCACTAGGTCCCCAAGACGCGGAGCGCGCGGGGATAAGACTCACTGCGGCTTCCGTAGCTGTAGCCGTCGCGATCGCGGCGGGGACCCCGGGCGTGTTCTACGATCACGCGCTCACCGCAAAGATCCTTGCCGTTCAGCTCGTAAACGGCGTCGTCGGCGTCGCGGGAGTCCTCGAACTCCACGAAACCGTACCTGGAAGCGGCGCGAGAACCGAGTGCGTCGTTAGCCGTGGGCGCGCACGCCCGCGCGCTCCCGCAGCCCCCCGCGCGCGCTCCCGCAGCCCCGCGCGGCCGCCATCTTGGAGGCCCTGCCACGCGGCGCCGCGGCCTTGGCTGCCTCATGCCTCCGGTAGTACCCGCAGCCGTCAGGCCCGGGGCGTTGGGGGCGGATGCAGGCGCCCTGACTCGACTCACCCATTTTTGAGGTCTACTTCGAGGAGGCGGCCATAGCCGCTGAAAAAGCGCTGGATGTCCTTTTCCCGGACGTTGTAGCTAAGGCGTCCTATGTAGACGCGTGGCATGGCCGTGGCGGGCAGAGGCCCGAAGGCTAGCTGTCGAACAGCGAACCGCAAAGCAGTAGCCGCGGTGCGGGTGGGGAAGAGTGCCCGAACACGAGCCTCACAGCGCAGCGGTGGCCGAGTCCAGCCACACAATGGCGCGCGCGCGCGCCCGGGCTACGCTATAAGGACGGACGGACGGAGGGCGGGGTTCTGTGCGTGGGACGTCAGCGCGCAGGCACGTACCCGCCCGCGTTGGAGTGGTTTGCTTAGGCTTGACTTGCGGGGCCACCGTCCGCGAGGTTTCGGTGAAGTGAGGTTTTGCTCGCTCACCCAGTTTTTACCAGCCCTCCACAGCTATTTTTTTAAACTTTGTTTTCCCTCGTCCAGCCACGGACTTGACTTCTAAATTGTACCTTTGGAAAAACTGAGCTCTCCCGGAGTGGAGCTTGGAGGCAGGCTCGTAGAATCCGTGGTTTTCATTGGCTTCCGAGGTTGTCATAATAGGTCACCGTGGTCTATGATTGGCCCCTTAAAAGGAGGTTGCCAGTTTCCTTCACGGATTGGATTACGCTGTTTGGTGGGGAACGCGCTCTTGGACACAGTTGATTATCCCGCTTCGCAGAACCCGCGGTTTCCCCTTGGGGGTTGTGTGACCCGTGTTGCAAGCTCACATCTTTGCCAGCTTCAAACCCTCGGGATCTCAGCTTTCATCAGCCTTCACCCCCACTCTGCATGCCCCCCTTCTCCCTTCTTGGGGAGGCACTTGTAGACTGGGGTGTACACGGGGATTTCAAAGTAGGTGCTTACGACGAAGCCCGGTTGAGCAAGAACTGGCAGCTCACCCTCATATGGAGAGTCCATTGTCCAAATACAGCCTTTCCGTCATTGGTTTGGAAGGTGCCTTTTGTATGTGTCAGAATATATATGTCTATATGCGTATATACATATATTTGTGAGTTTTGTCATTAGAGATGCCATTTAAAGCTAGAGAATTGAATGAAAACCCCAAAGGAATGAATTTACATGGAGAGCAGAAGCAGGCCCAGGACCATGCCTGTAGCACTCTGAAATTTAGTTTAGTACAGGGAAGGAGAAGAAGCCTTGATTGTGCAGTGGTTAGAAGGTTGGCTGCTAACTGGAAGGTCGGTGGTTCAAACCCACCAGCCGCTCTGCAGAGAAAAGACTGGCAATCCGTTCCCATAAAAATTACAGCCTAGTTCTCCTCTACTATAGTGTCGCTATGAGTCGAAATTGACTTGAGGGCACCCAACAGGAAAGGAGATTGAAAAGGAGTGGCTAGAAATGTAGGGGAAAAAAACAGGAGAGCATGGTGTCACAGAAACTAAGAGGAGATTAAAAAACCAAAGCCAAACCCGTTGCTTTCCTACTCATAGCGACCCTGTAGGACAGCGAAGAACTGCTCCATAGGGTTTCCAAGGCTGTAATCATTTTTTTAAAGTTTTTTTTTATTTATTGTACTTTAGATGAAGGTTTAGAGAGCAAATTAGTTTCTCATTAAACAATACACATATTGGCTTGTGACATTGGTTGCGAGCCCCACAACATGTCAACACTCTCCCCTTCTCATCCTTGAGTTCCTTGTTACCAGCTTTCCTGTCCCATCTTGCCTTCTGTTCCTTGTCCCTAGGCTGGTGTGCCCATTTCGTCTCATTTTGTTTTATGGGCCTGTCTAATCTTTTGCTGAAGGGTGAACGTCAGGAGTGACTTCATTACTGAGCTGGTAGGGTGTCTGGGGGCCATATTCTTGGAGTTTCTCCAGTCTCTGTCAGACCAGTAACTCTGGTCTTTTTTTGTGAGTTTGAGTTTTGTTCTACATTTTTCTCCAGCTCTGTCCGGGATCCTTTATTGTGATCCCTGTCAGAGCAGTCCGTGGTGGTAGGCAGGCACCATTTAGTTGTACTGGACTCAGTCTGGTGGAGGCTGTGGTAGTTGTGGTCCATGAGTCCTTTGGACTAATCTTTCTCTTGTGTCTTTGGTTTTCTTCATTCTCCCTTGCTCCATTGGAGTGGGACCAGTAGAGTATCTCAGATGACAGCTCACAAGCTTTTAAGATCCCAGACGCTACTCACCAAGGTAGGATGTAGAACATTTTCCTTATAAACTGTGTTATGCCAATTGAGCTAAATGTCCCCCGGGACCATGGTCCTCAGCCCTCCCAAGGCTGTAATTTTTACATAAGCAGACTGCTACATCTTTCTTCGGAGGAGTGGCTGATGGGTTCAAGCTGCCAACCTTTGGTTGGCAGCTGAGCTATTAATCACTTTGCCACAGGGCTCCTCCTTATCAAAAGGAAGTTTCGGGTGCATCAATAATACAAGAGTGCCACTTCCCCTACCTCTGGCCAATAACGAATGTTAACAAATTTTAAAATTTGACAATTTGATGAGTGAAAAATGTTTTCACATCGTTTTGAGTTTTCATTTCTCTAACTATTCCAAAAGTATGAAAAAAAAAAAAAAGGTTTACCTACATTTTTTATTTATCTAACTTTAAGCACAGACAGTATGGCTTTTACCCCCTGAATGTCAGTATCAATCCCCCTTCCCAAGTCATGACAGCCAAAAACGTCTCCAGACTTTGCCAGACGTTCTCTGGAGGCCAGAATTGCCCCCTACTAAGAGCACTGAGGAAACCCTGGTGACGTAGGGGTTAAGTGCTATGGCTGCTAACCAAAAGGTTGGCGGTTCACATCCACCAGGCGCTCCTTGGAAACCCTATGGGGCAGTTGTACTCTGTCCTGTAGGGTCGCTATGAGTCGGAATCAATTAGAAGGCACACAGCAACAGCAAGGTAATGCGATAGTATTTATTAAATAATATACATGTGGAGCAGGGTGTTGCCTCTTCTTACAGTTCATTTGCCCAAAGAGAAAGATGCGGTTGATGTTGCCCACCACTTCCTCTCACCTCTCTTCCACCAGAGCCCAATGGCCACTCTCTGCGAAAACTGAATAGCACTGGCTATAGAAGAGGAAACAGTCTCAAATAACAGCATCATTGAAGGGAGTGTTGGACCATCGGCACTCCGTGGCGTCTTGCTGACGGACTAACTCACTTCTGTTGATATTTTAGAAGAAAAATGCAAAAGAGAAATGATGGCAGTGCAGTGTGGGAGCTCATTTCCTTAGACACCTACAACTGTGGCAGATAAAGATTGCTCCATCTCTGCTCACCCTAAAATTGTGGAGGCATCTTGCAGAGGTCTGTCAACAAGAGAGGAAGTATCCCCTCAATCTGATCCAGAAGAGTGTTTAACTTCAAATTCACAATGACCCAGGTTATACAGTCTAGAGAGCATAATTATTGTGGTGTTTTATTGTGGCTTTCAATCCAATTGATATTCTTTCAAATATTGAGTCCCTACTGTGTGCTAGGCACTGTTCTAGGCGCTGGGGACACAGCATGAAGATCTACATTAGGGGTCTGCAATCTGTGGCCCCAGGTCAACTCTGGCCTGCCACCTGTTTTGTAAATAAAGTCTTAATGGAACACAGCCACACCCATTTATTTGCATATTGTCTATGGCTGCACTCCTGCTACAACCGCAGTATTTTTTTTTAGCAGTTTTAAAAAAAAGTTTATTTTTTAATTATTGTTAAAAATATACACAGCAGGACATACACCAATTGAACAATTCCTACATGTACAATTCAGTAACGTTTATTGCATTTTTCAAATGGTGCAACCATTCTCTCCCTCCTTTTCCCAATTGTTCCTCCCTCGTTGACATAAACTCACTGCACCCTAGCTTCCTATTGAACCTTTCAAGTTGCACAATAGCAGTATCAAGTAGCTGCAGCATTGAGTCATTGTGACAGAGACCATCTGGCCCACAAAACCTGAATTATTGACTGTCTGATTCTTTACAGAAAAAATTTGCTAACCCCTGATCTATGTTATTGACTTCGAACATCTGTGGTGTGTCGTGAAGTGAAATATACTAAGTTTTAGTATATGTATGGTCCCATTTTTGTAAACAACCACCACCACCATGAACCCTAAAGAGCCCAACCCTTACTATGAATGTGTCTGTGTCACTGAGTTGTGTTTGTGGTGGTTTTTAAGCATCAGTGGGAATAGGTCCTACACGATCATGTCCCCTCCAACTCTTTAACTGCATCCCTTACCACTCCTTCTCCCATCTACTTCTTACTGTGCCTTGAATGTGCCAAGCACACACCCACCTCAGGGCATTGGCACTGAACAGCTCCCTATGTCTGGAACACTTTTTCTATGATTTGTTCCCTCACTTTCTTCTGGCCTCTGCTCAAAGCCACCTTATCAGAGGGGCCTTCTCTAACCATCTATCATGGATTTACTACGTCCTGCCAAAATATCTGTGAACTTGGCTGGGTCATGATTCCCAGTATTGTATAAATGTGTACCATTTTGTAATCTGATGTGATTTCCTTATGTGTTGTAAATTCAATCACTATGATCTAATAAGGTGGATTAGTGGCAGTTATACTGATGAGGTTTACAAGATTGGATAGTGTCTTAAGTCAATCTCTTTTGAGATATAAAAGAGAGAAGCAAGCAGAGACACATGGGAACCTCATACCACCAAGAAAGCAGTGCTGGGAGCAGAGCGCATCCTTTGGACGTGAGGTTCCTGCGCTGGGATGCTCCCAGACCAAAGGAAGACTGGTGCATCACAAGGACCTTTTTCCAGAGCCGACAGAGAGAGAAAGCCTTCTCCTGGAGGTGATGCTCTGAATTTGGACTTGTAGCCTACTGGACTGTGAGAGAATAAACTTCTGTTTGTTGAGGCCATCCACTTGTGGTATTTCTGTTAGAGTAGCACTAGATGACTAAGACAGAATTTGGTACTGAGAGAGTGGGGTGCTGCTCTAACAGATACCTAAAATGTGGAAGCGGATTTGAAACTGAGAATGGATAGACGAGCAGCAGTGGCAGAGAAGCAGCAGCAGCAGAGAACCGGCAGCAGCAGAACCAGGAGACCAGCGCCAGACAGCACTGGAGCCAACCCATGGAGCAAGAGAGCTGAGTGCCTGTGCGCTGGAGGCTTCCTGGTGGAGTGGGGTGCCTCCGGACACTTATCGGTGAGCTACAGAGCTTTGGAACACTTGCCCCAGCAGGGCAGATGCGGGCCTGAGGCCAGAGGCCACAGGAAGCAGAAGTTGAAGAGACAAGGAACACAGGG